CACTTAATGTTGTTAACATCATGCTACATCAGCTCCCTCATATTTACATCATACAGGTTTAATGTGACTCTGGTTGTGTTTCATTATTGTGTCTTAAACATGAACATTTCTTCCTTCTGCTCTTTCTTCATGTAACATTTCACCTGCAGTCAGAGAAGATTACTGAAAACATCAATCAGCAGCTCCAGCAGTTGAAACAAAGAACAGCAACACTGAAGGATCAGTTGGAGAAGAATTCTCCTGAGGTTTGTTTTTCAGTTGTAAACATTTAAAATTTACTGACTCAACTCTCTTCATGAATAGAATGCACATCAATGTTTACTCACCAAATCTGAAGGTCTGAAATATAAAAAAAGAATCCAGGATGTGTCCATGTAAGAATTGTGCTGGATCTCAGGGCCTCGTTGTCCTAACCCTCTGTTAAGTCTAATTGTTGAATGTTGTCATTGTGTTCCTTAAATCTGTACAGTCTTGGTTCAAGCAGTAGATCAAAGCCATTCCTTTGTCTCTGACCACCTCTCCAGCCCCTGTGTGCTGGGAGCGGGGTTTATTGTAGATACATCCTATCTGGAAGATCTGTTTCTTCTGTTTTAAGCTTCCTGCTTTTATGACCCTTTTGGTGAGCAGGAGGTTACACACACACACACACTCTCTCACATGTATTCACACACACACACACACACACACACACACACACACACACACACACACACACGTTCTTGCACATGGAAACAGGTCTTAGAACCATTGGGGGGTTTTACGGTGGGAGGTGCTTGTGTTCTATTGTGTATTGTAACAGTTTGTCAATAAATAGCTGCCAGCGAGCTGCTCTTTGAAGGACTTTGGGCTGGAGACAGGTTAGGAGCGTGAGCTCCAAGAGCTGGTTCTTGACCAAAGACTTCCCTCGCTAGCGGGTTGAAGATGTTCTGTTATGTCTTGTTTTCTTCATGATGAACAAGTCTCTAAACTAGCGGGGCTTGTGGAAACACAGACACAACACCCTCCCCACTCAGTTTAAGATCTGCATGTTCAGGCAGTCAACAGCCAAACATCAGTCACAGCAGAAATTTCTCTGTACAGAGATTTTCTGGATTTTGATGTTGTGGAAAAAATAAATCAAAGTGATTTTCTGAGATTTTTTAAAAGAAAGTTAAAACCTTTGCAAAGGGATCAATACAGCATGAACATGGTTCTTACAAGCAGTGACAAAGAAGCAAAAATAATAACAACTCCTTTGAGACCGCTCTCTTTCCCAACGAATAACATGCCAAAGTTTTGTCACGTCCTGAGGCGTCATAGTAACGTGAAAGTTAATCTTCTGTGTCCCTATGATACGCTCCTGGTGGTAAGACATGATCCAGCTGTTTATGCCCTAACCACAGCCTTAATCGTGTCAGACAGTGTTTTTCAAAGCGATGAGAAAGTAAAATAAATGTGGCTGATTCATTCCAAACGGTTCTCATGTTTTCAAACGTGTAACATACAGACATGTTGGGTGGGTGAAAACGTAACGTACCAACGATTTGTCACAGTGTCGATATGTTACGCTTTGGGATAAGAACATATTGCTCCAACATTGTGGCTGATGTCTTCAGATGTTGCTTAACCTCTTAAGCCCCAACGCCCCCTGATACGGGGGCAAAAGGCAGGAGATCAGTTAGGCTTGGGGCTTAAGAGGTTAAACATGTACGTGCCATCTATTTTGTGAAATGCATCAGTCCCTTCTGCAGCAAAACAGCTATGATGCTGTCGCCCCCACACTTCAGAGTTGGGATGATGTTCTGAGTCTTCAGAGCTTCCTCCTTTTTCCTCAAATATACAGTTTATCATTACAGTTCAGTTTTTGTTTGGTCAGACCTCAGGACATGTCCCCAAAGATTAAGATTTCTGTCCTCATGTTGCAAACTGTAGTCTGACTTTTTTTATGATGGTTTTGCAGTAAAGGCTTTCTCTTCCCAGAGTGACCTTTCAGCTGGTGTTGGTACAGAACTAGTTTTACTGTAGATAGTGATGCTGTCTTACTAGTGTCAGTCAGCATCTTCACAAGATTTTTTCCTGTTGTCCTGTGTTGTTTTGCACATTTCACACCAAAAATGTTCCTACACTCAGAATCCGTCTCCTTCCCGAGCAGTATGACGGTTGTACGTTCCCATGTTTTCATACTTGTGTATTATTGTTTGAACTGATGAACGTTGGACCTTCAGTTATCTGGAAATTGCACCAGTAGATGAGCCGCACATGTGGAAGTCCACAGTTGTTTTCCTGAAGTCTTGTTAGATAAAGACACAATAAACTTAGTGCATGAAAGTAATGAAAAAACTGTGTTCTTTGTCTTTATACTGACATTACACAAATACAAAAATAATGTTAATATTTATTGATCTAAAACAAAACAAAAAAGTTTGATCTTTGCCGGTAAAGAAAAAAGTTTTTTATGAAGTGTTTGTAAATATCTGGTTTCACCTGTGTACTAAAGTATCCTTGTAAAAGCTGTGGTTTTGTTTAAATCCTTAATTATTCTATAAAGTTCACATTAACAGAAATAAAGTTTTTTCTGGCATCAGAGTCTGCAATTTATTGTCAAGGTCATAACCTGGAGCAGAGTAGCAAAAACCCTCATTTGTTATAATTAAATAAAGTGCTGAAGAAATAAATTGACTTCAGTTTAGTGAGTTTGTGACCGTAATTAAATTAATCATTAAAATAACTGCACCAATCAGATTGAGTAAGAGGACACAAAGGTTGGAAACATGTTGCTCACAGTGAAGCTTCAATAATTGTGTCACTTTTATCAACAAAGCACTGCAGAAACATCAACATCTGTCTGTCTTTATTTCTGACAGATGATCAAATCTGAGATGGAGCTGGATGAATTCATTCAGAAGGTGCTGCAGAAATTTCCTACACTGGAATCAAAGGTCAGTGAAAGCATCTCTCAGCACACAGAGGTAAACATGGACATATGTGATGCTGTCATCCTCCCAATGATCACAGACCTGTGCACTTATATTCCTGCAGTTTTGTCCAGCAGCAGTTTGTGTGTCATTAACCAAACACAACTTTGAAATCCTACCACTGCAAGATTGTTGACATCATCCCACAACACTTAATGTTGTTAACATCATGCTACATCAGCTCCCTTATATTTACATAATACAGCTTTAATGTGGCTCTGGTTTTGTTTCATTATTGTGTCTTAAATGTAACATTTCATCTGCAGTGGAAGAAGAATACTGACAACAGCAAAAAGCTCCAGGATGTGAAACAAGCAGCAGAGAACCTGAAGGCTGAGCTGGAGTCCAGAAGTCGTGAGGTTTGTGTTTCCATAAACATTATGAATTTGTTGACTCAACTCTCTTTATAAATAGAATAAAAGTGCACACAAGTATTTTGTCACCATCACACCGTACAGTATGTGTAGAAAAAGAATTCTAGGCTATATTTATTTAAGAACATAAAAAAGTCTCTATGCATATTATTAGTGAGGGAAATCACAGAATCTTTGGATCTTTGAGTTTAAACACGTTGAGACTAGGGATGCACCGATACCGATACTGGTATCGGGAATCGGCCTCGATACCTCGATACCACATTTTTACCACAAGTACTCGTACTCGTTAAAAGTCCCCCGATACCGGGGACTGATACCACGGTCTGAGAAATGTCTATGTTTGAGCGGCATATAAGGGGTTAATCACAGGCGCCGAGTGCCCGCCCTCAGGCGCCAAGTGCCCGCCCCCAGGCTCCAGCTGCAGCTCAGAGCTGAGAGAAGGGCAGGCGAGACAAGTCAGCCGTGTGGAACTATTTCAAAGTGAACGAAGACGCGAAAACAAAGGCGGACTGCAAATTGTGCTCAGCGAAATTGTCCAGAGGAGGCTCAAAAGGTAGCGCATTTAACACAAGTAATTTAATCAAGCACCAAAATCCCAACACGACAACGAGTACAAAGAGTTTACCCACGCTTATTTACCCATGCTTATTAGCACAGATGAGTATAGCTGATGCTAAAGCAGTGGGACGGAAAATAGTTGGGCATTTTAAACATTCCGCCTTAGCCTACTCCCGCCTCAAGGACATTCAGGGACAGCTCAACCAGCCAATAAAGAGACTGCAGCAGGACGTACAGACGCGCTGGGCACGTATTACATGCTCCAGTCCCTCATTGAGCAAAAACGAGTGCTGAGCGTGTCCAAGCATGAACTCCCTGACTATCTCACCGCTCACCAATGAGCTCTTATGGAGACGACTGTTGCCATCCTCGCCCCCTTTGAGGAACTAACTAAAAAAGTGAGCAGCTATGAAGCACTAGCCTCTGATGTCATCCCAGCTGTGACTGTGCTAGTGAGACTTCTAAACAGAGAAACAGACGAACAAATTTAAAATTAAATTTTGTTTTTTATGATTATTTATTCTGTAATATGTTGCATACAACATGCATTTTAAATGAATGTTCTTAATTACAAACTAGTCCCTTGTTGTTGTTTTTTTTTTGTTAAATTATAGGACTAAAGCTGTTACCTGTAAATTTAAATCATGTTTTTATTAAGTACTCGGTATCGGCGAGTACTGAAATGCAAGTTCTCGTACTCATACTCGTTTCCAAAAAAGTGGTATCGGTGCATCCCTAGTTGAGACAGTTTACAGCCAAACATCAGTCATAGCAGAAACAGACAAGACAAGACAGAAATATTTTTTGATGTGGGTGTTGTGAAAAAATAAATCAAACAGATTTTTTAGATTTATTTACACAGAGTGAGTCATGACCTTGAACACAGTTTACAGTTAGTTTGTTTTCAAATCTGATTATTAGTTCAAGAAAGTTACAGCTACAGACCAACGGCAAACTGAGATTAAATCAGGTGAAACACAAATTTCCCTTTACATTTTTACCCTTTTGAGTATTTTTAATCATTGTCAATAACAGTAAAAATTAAAATAGAAAGTTCACAGATTACAGAGTTTACGTGAACACATCATAAACTGGAAATATAAATTACCATTAGCAGTTTAACTGTAAAGACAGACTTAAAACTTGATTTAAATGAAGCTGTTCACTCATGAGAGACTGTTGTTCAATTAAGGAAAACATTTGGTGTGAGACATCTTTATCAAAGTTCATCTTTAGAAAACCTAAGCAGCTGATACATACTTTAGGTTTCTGAATATCAAACTTGTTTCTGCCTTTCATAGTGTGTAACTTGAAGGCCCTGAGTACTTTCTCCCA